GTGGATCGATATTGCTCATTTTCAATACAAAACAAACCTTATCAATAGAGTATAAATGAGCAAAATTTAAACCGGACGGAACGGACAGACGTGAATAGATTGTCTTATAATTTAAGAAAGTCCTAGAATATATGTATATACGTTTATGGGTCTACGACCAATAAACCATCTTTTTTAATGGTGGGTATAAAAATACTAAATGTTACATTGAACTTTGTCAATGTCATGAAAGTGTGGCAGTTTTTGTTATAAATGAATGAACATATGTATGTATTAAAGAAAGGTATCCTTAATGTGAAAGTGTATTTCTTCACAAAATCATAAATTTGTTATTACAAACATTTACATATATTTTACAAGTGCGAATCAAATTTTCTTCTTTTGTGTTTCCATAAGTAAGTCCATACATCAGTGTGTATGTATGTATATACATACTGCTGAAACAAATGCCATTTGTTAACGGTATAGAAATACACGGCGTAAATTGGTAAAATAAATAAATAAAAAAGAAATTGTTAAAAGGTAGGAAATAAACTTAATACAATTATGTTGGTCTATTAGTGGTTAAACAAATTATAAATATGTAACGTGCTATTTCTACTTTCCAGCCATATTGTTCTAATGACTTTGTTATGTACATCCGAACATACTGACTGACGGGCATGAACATGGAATTGTGTTTGAATATATTCGATGCCAACCATGAGCAACTGAATATTCCATGTGGAAATGAACGAAAGGAAAAGTCAAGTATTCACTTAAAGGCAATTAACCTTTTTCTACAGCAATTTTCTATTTGTAATGTCTAATATAAAATAGAAAAAACCTGTAGAGGAAGCAAAATTTGCGTTAATTTCTCTTCACTATAAACAATTGTACTAAATTCACACAATCAGGTAACAAATTAATTTTATAATCGTCTCAACATTTGTTGATTGAGTTAATTTGTGGTCTAATAAAAGTTTGCATATTGAATGAATTAAAACACATGGAATAGCTAAACACCTCACTAAAATGTAAAAAATTCAGATTTTTTTTAGAAAACGAGGATTTGTTTTGAATCTCTCAAGTTAAGATCTCAAAAAAAAAAAAGAGTTTTATTCAATAAATTTAATTAGTTTAAGCAAATTATTTTTCAAATATTGGGTTTCGATTACTTATAGTAGACGAACAACTTACGACACAAAACACAAAATATGCATTTAGTTTGTAACACAAAAAAAATATGTTTTTTAAAAAAGCATTTTCCCAAAACACTTGAAACAACAGTCAAGGCTAAAACTATGAACTAATTACAACATAAGGAATGTTAAACACTTGTACTATGTAAGTGTGTACGAATACTAAAAGTACTAAAAAAGAACAAATAAGCAAAAAGAAAAAAAAGAATGAAATGAACCAAATTGCATGTAGTTCAAGGTAATTAAATTACAAATATTAAGAGAACTATCAACATTAGGGTTACAATCAAAAATAGGCCCTATCACTACGCGTGTCCTAATAACAAAAACATTTTTCTCTGGTCATTTTGATGCAACAAATTTTCTTTTTTGACGTTGAGCCCTATATGAAAAGCAAATTTCAATCAACGTTAATTGAATCAGTCCTTAGCAAATTTATGTTAGGATGTGTGAAAAGTTTTGATTAATTTTTATATTATTTTTCTGGAACCAGCACTGGGGGGATGACCCCGACTTCTGGCAGAGTAGATGGAGGGAGTAGTGTTTAAGGACATTTACACCGTTCTTATAAGCGAAGACACTTGAATGCTTCTTTCGACACTTGGATTTTGTATATTATGTATAGTCCAACGACTAAGTGGTGTCTGCACGATGTCAAACTTAGGGCAGGGCACCCCTTAACAAGATGGCGAAACATTCCACAATAGGACTGTATTGGATTCCAGGACATCAACAAATTCCTGGTAATACCATCGCGGACTCTCTTGCCAAGTTAGGCTCCTCGCTTGCAAGAGAGCATACCGACCCTTTTGTCGGTATACCGCTTTCAACCTGCAAACGCTCGATACGTGAAAAACTATATGAGCTTGTGCAATGCAGATGGTCGACTGAAGCCACCTGTAGATAGGCAAGGATCATGTGGCCATCTTTTCTACATTCCGAGAGATAATCTACGGAGCTTAACGGCAGTGGTAACTGGCCACTAGCCTAACTTACCCAGTAACGACTTCTGCAGGAGCTGCCAGGATGAAGAGGAAGAAGAGAGTATAACTCACTTCCTGCCTACCTAACCTAACCTATAGTCCAACGACATCGTCCTATATTTCCATGTCCAGAACATCCAGAGTTTCTGAAGTTCCTCAATATTTACACCAGTCATAAGTATAGAAGGAACAACATTAACTGTCTTGCGTTTATGTGTTAAAAAATTGAGTTGGGTCGAACATTAAAATCAACTCTATTAATATAACCTAGATTTTTAGTAGAATGTTATCAAGTCGTGGTATGCCTCACTGCCCCAATATCCAAAGAGGAATTGAATGAATAAGAATGGCAAATATTGCTGTCATCGTTAAAAGAATACAAATTAAAATTTGACATAAATGTTTATGAAAGTTAAAAATAGAGTAGGGGAAAGAACGGAGTCTCGAACTCGATTGACGAGATCTCATCTGTAACAACTTGTATAGTGCGACCTCTGAGAAAACTCGAAATAAATCGAGAGAAATTTTACCGACATTAAGTCAATCAAAATATCAAATCAATCATGCCAAAATCAATCAAACTCACCACTTTACTGTAGCCAACATAGTGAATGGCATGACATTCCTTTTTCCGAATGAAGGCTAGCAAGTCTCCCATAAAACGACATCTACGAAAGTCATACCTACAGGTAGTCATTAAGTAAATTGTTGATCTCTAATGGCAACCTGTGCCTGTTTTCTGTAACTTTCGAATCGACAAAAAAATTCTAAAAATTTATAATCGTGTTCAGTTAAAAAATTATTTAAAGCACGTAAAAGGCTCTAATATTTCAATGTTTTTTCCCGACTCGAAAGTTACAGAACACGGGCACTGTTCTGCACATTTCAAAGTTATGGAGTGTATGGTTAAACATTCCATAACTGTGGAAAGTACATAACAGATTTCTACTGGTCGATAATTTTCAGAATTATTAGCCTCTCCCTTTTTGGAAATGTTAAAAAGATTAGCTAATGAACGATCTAGCATAGAAAAGCACTGTTTTAAGACAAGTGTCAGTAATAATATGCGCTCGAAATAGTAGAGTTGGCATTGCTAGTGATACTCTTTCGAGCTCGGGCAGTAGTGGATCACTTTCCTGCAAGCAGAAATTACGTGCAAATAACTCAGCTAAAAGGTATCAACCGGGTAAATGTTTGATCACACGTGAAAGCGTAGGAATTGAAAAACTATATTTTTAACCAATGACCAAAAACAATTTCCATAGAAGCAGTAAAAGCCTTAGCACTAGGGCGCTGCTCTGTTTTGCATCTTATCAGTTTTTGATAATACTGGATCTTCAAAGCAACGGAAAACGTTTCTCATTGTGTAGCCATCGAAAGTATCCTAGGAAACATTGCAATCCTGATCACGGGAGCAATGAGGATGACGCCAACGAAGGCCCTGAATTGCTTACCAGCTGACCTGAACACTTCGAATCCTTGCATCTTAATGTAGACTATTGCGTTGCGAAACCTCACTTCGACAGACGCTTCCGTATCCGAGTTCCTGCTAGGAATTCAGTATCCGAGTCCCACTCAACTAATGGTGTAACAAATGTTTAAACTGACTGCTCCAGTTTATGGCTTTTATATTGAAAGAATACTTTTTGGCAGAGATATCTGCTGTCAAGCGAGTCGCCAACTGGCTGAGGTTTTATCAAATATCCGGTGATATATGTATATATACGGGCAGCAAAGCTGCGATCACAAATCATGCTGGCGTTTTTACGACATTTAGGTTAACCGAAGAATGGCGGGTATCTCTGAGGGAGATAGCGGGACATTCCAGGATAAGCAGAGAATATTGTTTCGACTTTGCTACTCTATCTTGTTTAGATGAGCTATCCTAAACTTTGTGAATCAAACCGGCTGGTTTAAATCTGGAAGTAGAGAGTAATACTTAAATAGACCCCTACGACCACTAGGGTATCACAACGGGACCACAACTAGGTGGACCCATGGGAGCTATCTTTCTTACCTAAACCTAACCTTGATACTTTTTGATGTATTTCCTAACGTTTGCTCGTATTTCTTAACGTTCATGGAGGCTTATCTAAAAGCTGCTAAATCAACAATAACCACAAGTAGCTTAACCATGCTGTCTGCTTGTAAATCGAAATCCTCCATTTATGGCGTTGGTAAGTTTGCTACCGGTTGGGTACCTCTGTCCGTTATTAAAAGTAAAAAGTTGCCTGTTTACTTTTTGTTGAAAAGTCTGCCACTTTGCTTTCGTCGGGACACAATACTGTCTCCCATGTTGTGCACAAGGGGAACCATTGATCATGACGTTGGGTTCCTCTCTACGCTAGAAAAGTCATTGAACTTGATGCCGGAATCTTCCAGTGACCCCAAACTGTTCGCCCTTGGCACAAAACTGCCTGGGCATTTGTCGAAGAATGTTCATTCGATACGCTGCCAACGACTAAACGTTCAAAAAGGAACGCCAACCGTTATTATCAATAGGCCATTCATTAAGCTTTATCGACTGCTGCATCAGCAACGGGACCCTATTGTATAGAGACTTATTATCTGACCTTAGCTTCCTACATATGTACGTATCGTTGTATTCAGTTTTGTAGAATATAATAAATATTTAAATCAATAATCGTCAATTAGGTGTTTTAAATCTCTACTTAAGTATTTGTTAAAAGCAAAATACGTAAATGAGGTAACAAACAATTGTAAACTAAGGCATAAATACTTATTTATTTATGAAATACATACAAGTATCTACACGGTATGAATAGTATTTTAGTATAAAATTCTTTAAAATATTTATTAAATAATGTGCACTCACCCGATAATGTTATGCACATGCAACAGAATATTAGCAACACTTTCTGCGGCATAGTTAAGCACGTGAAACATTGCATGTTAAAATCAGCTGCTGCTCTTCTTCTAGGCGACGATGATGATGATGAATTTGATGATTTTGTAGACGATTTCGAATCGTCATGTGTTAAACGAACATACATTTTAAATTTCTTTTAAATGAATCTTTTTAGACCAATTTATATTTATGTGATATTTTTCACTATTTAACAGTTTAACAGGCAGTTTATTTTATGTTTTTTATCTAATTTAATTTATTTTTATTTATTTTTTTGATAATTAAGTGATTGGCAGAGCTTGTATTGTATTTTAACAGATGAGTACTTTTCTTTTTGTTGAGAAAAATTTACAAGTAAAAAAGAAATTGTCAATTGAGATTAAACGATAAATTTCTTTTAATTTAAGAATTTGTATTTTTTGTTCATTTTGCAGTTTCTACTATAAGTAGATGAGTGTGTGTGTGTTTGACGTGGCATGAGAATCAACGAGAAATTTATACAAAATGTTAGTTAATATATCTAAATATTGGGGATGAGAAGAATAGAAATGTTTTTTGGTAATGATATTAAAATAAATTTATCTAGAAAATATTTTGAATAGAATAATTGGCATCCATGTATTCAAAACTTATGTAGAAAGTTATCGAAAACCCTTTATCGTAAAGTTTTAAATATAGAAAATTAATCCAACATAAACATGCAAAAATCGTACACAGAGGGAAAAAGAAATATACACGCCTGGTACCAAATTGACACCAAACTGTTTATAATGTTTCAATAACATCCGTTGCCAAAGTATATACAAACGTACGACAACACTATGAAATGTTGACAACATTGCAACAATTCGTTGCGAAATCTAAATTTTATCCACATCCGTTGTCAAACAAACAATCCGATGCCAATAGTGAGCTTACCACGTTTGTTAACATTTAGACAACGGATGCGTAAAAAATTTAGATTTCGACAACGAATTGTTGCAACGTTGACAAAGTTGCGTTGTCAACATTACATAATGTTGTCTTACGTATGTATATACTTTGACAACGGATGTTATTGAAAAATCAGAAAATCTTTGGTGTCAATTTGGTACCAGGCGTATATATTTCTTTTTCCCTCTGTGTATAGATCTTTGTATTTGTATTGTTGATATTTCGGAAGAATGAGGTGAAATGGAAGATTTCTCAGGAAAATTTTTTGTAAATTTTAGTTTTAAAAAGAAAATTGTCTTAAATAAAACTAATAAACTTGGGGGAAAAAATTAATTAATCAATCAATATAAAGAAGGAAACTAATGAAGCTTAAAAATGCAGACCAAAACTTTTTATCATATCTAATAAATTTTAAACATCTGCACATCCAAACATTTTTACAAACACACACACTTACATAAATACCACAGTCATAAATTGTTGAGCAACAACAACCACAACAACAATGAATGAAAAAAATAAAGAATATAATGACAAAAGAAGAATTAAATGAAAATCGTTTATCTTTAGCTGATAAATTACAAATGTCTTTTTGTTTGTCTGTCTGACTACCTACGTCTCTCTCTGTTTTCCTTGTTCTAAATCTTATTAGTTTGTCGAGAGCAAAAAATAAATTGAGGAAGAAAATGCAGAAAATATGCGGATAAAATTGACACACTGATCAGAAAGGAATTGTTTTTGTTTCTCCTTATTTTCCTTTATTTTGGTCGTGTGAAACACACGTTCGCTCAAACACACAAATAAACACACCACAGCAGACATGGTGACAGACAATGAAGAGGGCGTTAGGAATTGCAAGGCAAAGAAAATACTAAAGACAACAAGAAATTAAAACAGAAAAAAAAATTACAAAAACAATTCTCAATTGTTTTTCATAATGATGTTGTTGGCTGGCAAATGATTCTGAAGATGTGGCAAATGATGGTGACGATGTTTTGTTTATTTGTGTTCTTTACAATAATAAACAAAAATAACAAAAACATTTCTTTGGGGAGACAACTCCTTTCCATTTCTGTTCTACATTTATATGTAACACTCTGTCTGTGTGTGTGTGTGTGTGTATGTTTATTTTGGCATCTTCTTAAAAGCCAACCAAATTTTCGCTTGGTTAAACTCTTTACTTTTGCTGACGTTGTTATTGCTGTTGTGTCGAGTGTTCATGTGTATGTGATGCATTTGTGAGAGAGTTGAGTGAATTTGTGCAAGTGTCAGTATTATCATCGTGGCGTGAGTTGTTGTAAAAATATTTAGTGAAAAGTGTATAAACGCGATGCTGTATTTACTGCTATAATAAATTTAAACAAAATGGTTGAAAAAAAAAGAATAAACTACGATGGTTGAAGTCTTGGCTTCATTTCCACTTATACAAATGGCCAAAAGAATATTACTGAGTGTTTGTGTCTGTTTGTAGATCAGTTTGTTCCCTGCCAGCAATTTTGTAGTCGACTACGAGAAAAATACACTTCTAGTTTACTTTTACAGACTGACTATAAGCTAACTACAATGTAGTGCAGAGCTATCCCGAAATTTTGTATTTGGCAACGTAAAGAACCGACTTTTAAATAATAACTACAAGCTAACTATAATGTAATGCAGAAGTGCCTCAAAATTATCTGGAGAGAATTAATTGTATTTCAACATGTTTTCTCTTATTTCTCTATTATTATAATTTTATTTGTTAACTTTGACTATAAACGAACAACAATGTAATGCAGAAATGTTCCAAAATTTGGTATTTATTAACGTAAACAACCGACTTTTAAGGACTAGCTACAAGCTAACTATCATATAATGCGGGAGTACCCCAAATTATCTGGAGAGCATTTTGTTTCGACAAGTTTTCTCATGTTTCTTTATTATTTGGTATTTTGTTTTACATTTTTGTCATTTTCTTGTATACGTTGTGAAATTAGAGTCAGTAAATTGGAAAAATGAATTATGAAAGGTTAAATATTTCAAAACTCGGTCCCTAAATTCTAAATTCTGCTGATTAATACTGTAAATATAATATATTAACAGTTAACATTACACATAACATTTTAGAATTTATTTTAGATTTGGATCAATGGGAATCATGGAAATAATGAACAAATCATTCATAATTTTATGGATACCGGTGTTATTATTAGTTCCCCTGCAGAAAACTGATGTCTATTAATTTTAACGAACTAATATCATAACTTGTATTAAAGCGAAATGTAATTTAGATAACTAGAAGTTAAATTTTAAATATATTTAATTAAAATGTAATTAATTAATACAGTAGGGAATACAAAAGAAAACTATTACTTGACTTTTCTGCAACTAACTTTAAGTTAGTTAATAAAGAGTTACCTTTAAGCTAATTTTTTAGTAACTAACTTTAAGCTAGTTGAAAAGTCATGCAGAGTCGGACAATTGACTACTGCGTAGGACATAGCCATGTTAAAATAGTCAGTTGGCTCCATTAAGAATAATCCAAGAATCAACCATAACTAGTTGATGAAAAAGTCTGCTTATAATGCATTTAAAGTTAGTTGAGTTGCTGGCAGGGTTATTAAAAAAATTGTATATTGTTGTCATTAAAAGGAATATTTTATAGTTTATTATCTTATTCTTTCATTGTAAGTGCTCTGAAAGAGGCTAAACCAAATTGTTTCACCTAATTCTTATATTATTTAATGTGAAATCAGATCAGGCTTAGGGGGTAATGATTTCCGAAAGTAATTCATTTCTTCTGCCAATACATAAGAGTTTTATGTATTCTATTTTCCGTCAGATGAAGTGAAAGAATTCAGGACTCTTGAATGCTTCTTTCGACACTTGAAAATATGTTTTTTTTCAGCGGATATCGAACTGTATTCTCATGCCCAGAATATTAAGGTTTTCAGAATCCTTAAATATCCCAGATGCGGTAATGCAATATTGTTTCTTATGTGCGTTAAAATTGACTTCATTTGCACGATTCTATTCAGAGATACTAAGTCCTGGTTGAGCGATTTATTCATGTTTTGCCACATTTGTCAATCTTCAAAGGGCTTGGCGTACAATTAAATAAATGGAAAGCTTATATTTCCACATTGCACTGACATTACTGACACTATAAGCTCATCACCCTAGGTGAGTTCTTAGGCAATGCTGATTGATGCCTAAATCAAGTGCAATTTTGGTTGTCCATAGCACCATTGAAAACATACTAGAAATACTATGCTGGCTTATTTTGGGGCAGCAGATGAAACAAAAAAAGGGAAAGATTTGTCATCATACACTTCCACCGGGCGAAAAAGAGATGCTGCTCATTCCTCTAGTCTGTCGGGACTCGAATCTCGAAGTGCTTTACGTGAGTACCTACCGTGTTGGCCTATCTCACGGTGGTCTTTTTCAACCACTGTGTGAGCTTTGTAACGACTCACCACCTCCCCGTTTACAACCACACAGATGGGATGGCCTCTGTTGAGTCGACAACAGCACCTAGAGGCGTAACCGGTACACCGAAGTACGAAGTAGTCTGTCGGGACTATAAACTGCTGGAGTCATATGTATACTCGACGTCATATGTTTATATGGAGCCTTATAATCTGATATCACGGGACTCCGAAACTCTGCCTTGTACGCAGATCCCGATTATTTGGAAGGCACCTTCAGGGTCGTATGCTTTAAATTCGCGGTAAGAGAACGTCGGTTAAAAGACTAATACATGGTAAAGTCTATAATTCAAGATAAGTTTGGTGCTATTGTCGAGACAACAGATACCCCTGAGAGAAGTGACTGTGGCACTGAGCGTTGGAAATGAGTAAGTGTCAAGTGTATATGATACGCGCTGGATGTGGGGGTATGCGAGCCTCACCTATCCATTTGCCTAGAGTGAGTTTTTTTATAATGATATTAGGTTTCATATACAGGTGATACCATTGAATTTTCCTTCTTTGTCAGGGTATGTTCAGGGTTTACTTTGTTCATACCAGATATACCACAGTGTGTTCACTGTGAGTAAAAACAAGTCTTCGGCTTATTTTAAGTACATATTCGTATTTCCTACGAATTACGTAAGTAGGTGCTGTTTTCGAATCAACAAATTCCATCTCATCTGCGTGGTTGTTAAAGGAAGTGATGTTTTTGTATCTCGGAAATTACGAAACGGGGCAACAATTGTCAGAGATTAGATAGCTTGAGTACTTAAGGAAAGTGCTTGTACATAGGCCAACCATGTACAAAAAGTCGGTGGTGAATCGTCTAATTAGCTCACCCTGTAAAATTACCACGTAAAGCACTTCTACTTATGTCAATAAACACTGTTCTTCGGGACGACCTGATCTCAGTCTCCACTGACAGGTACTGGCTGCTGAATTTTCTCCGATGCCTTTGGTTTCTTGATTTCCATCAGATTGCATGTGCACTCCTATTAGTTCTCACAGAAAGGAACTAAAACTCTCTAGGATATTGATAGTTCTTCTTATAGTCATACTTAGTAGATGTCACAGTACAATTAAATCTGTGTCCGATCATATAGGCTAACCACATAATAATTACTGATGTTGCTTAGCCGAAGAAGAGGAGTTGACATAAAAGCTTCTGATTGATTGCCCTGCTCTATAAGGTTAGATTAAGATATTTGATCTTTGTGGAATGTTCTTTCACGATCTGGATTAAAAAATGTTATATTTTGGCTTTTGTATTAAATGTGTCTACATATTACCCTAATTAATGTTAACATTATTTAGGTCAAATTAGTTGTATTCTATAATACTACAATTTCACTTCCGAATAACTTCCGAAAAAAAGCATTAAAATTACTTCTTCAGAATGACTTCAGAAATAGTGAATTTAGAATCAAATAAAAAGAAAATCCCTCCTAGTATAAGCCTGTACTAAAATCATCACTTCTTCAGTTCTTTTTCAGTACTTCCATGGTGTAAATCCAACTTGTTTTTCGCTTCTTTGGAAGTTCTTTTTTTGCTGGGATTTTTTAACTTAAAAAATGTTATGGAAAAACCAAATAAAGAAAATATGGCCATCTTGAAAATATGAAATAATACATCTCATATCTAAGAAATTATTTCAAAGAATTTTTTAGTTGTGCCTCTTGCGTGCACATTCATGCTTGCAGTTATTTTTAGATGAAGAAGAGTGCAAGTGAGAATGCAGATGTTTTTGAATGAAAATGTTCATATGTATAAGTGAATGTGCGTGTGTGTAACAGTCAAAATTTGGCCTTTAAAGAAATAAAATTAAAATAAATGAAAGGCAGAACAGAGAACAAGTAGAAACTTATGTTCCTTGTTCTCCTTCAGTTTGTTGGTAGCAGAACAGCCAGTATTTAATTATATACAAACACTCTCCACGCACACACACAGTACATAATTTATAGAGTAAATTAGTGTTTTTTTCCAAATTATTTTAACGTTTTTTCTCTTCCTTGTTGGTGTTTTTTCATATTATCCTTATGTTGCTCTATAAATATTTTCACTTTTTATTTTTCGTCTTTCAGTTCACACTCCTTTACCTTAAATGAATTATGAATTGATTTTTAGTTGTTGTTGTGTGAGCATGCTAGTATGTGTGAAAGTATGTTATTGTATATGTTTGGTTGTAATAAGAACTGCATGTAAGCATTATATTAGTTTAGCTTAATATTTTTTTCTTTCGTGCTGCTAAATTTTTCTTTTATTGTTTAATTTCCTTTATTTTTTTTTTTGGTTTATTTTTTATGTTCTGGGTTTAACACAATTTTCAAGGTTATTTTTTTAACTTTGCACGTGCATGCACTTTATTTGTATTTAATTTTTGATGTATTTATTTCACATAATTTACCGTAAATAATTTGTAATCGACACTTTTTAATTGGCGTCAAGAATTAAATTTCATGTGCAAACAACGACATTAATCTTTGAAACGAAAAAAAAACAGGACACTTTTTTATTGCTCTATGTAATTCTAGTTTTGTTTCTATTATACTTGTTCTTCAAAAAGAAAAAGACACACAGAAATGAATACTTTTATAAAAATAATAGAAACAGCAGCAGCACAACAACTACTAACTATTCTTGTTTAGATTTCAATTGCAACTGACGTTCACGTTTGACGTGTGTAGAGGTTTTAATGAGCACTTTTAACAAACTAAACTGAACTCTGAAACGAAACTTTTTGCAAAGTGTATGTTTGCATGTTTGTGCATGTTGTATGTGTATGAGAAATCGACTTCTCTCGTTTTATGTGCGTTTTTGTTTTTTATTTCATTTTTTGTCGTTTTATTATGTTGTTCGTTTCTCACATTTATTTTTTTTTTCTTCTTTCCCATGTCGTGTGATGTTTTTGAATTGTTGTTGCTGATGTTGTGTGTGTTTGAAAGCATCGTTTACGTTTACACGTATTTTGCATCAATATTTCTTTATTTACTGCAGCACAACATGTTTGAAGGTTCGCTTGGATTTGTTGTTGTCATAGGTTCGTTACTTTTACTGTTAAATTTTCCTTTCTAACATAAAGCTTTACCGTGTGTTGATGTTGAAAAAGCTTTTTTTGTGTTTAGATTTTAACATTGAACATCATGTCGTATGAGTGTTTTGAAATTAAATTTCACATACATTATACGTTCCGTATTTTCAAAAATACTATTTTAAACGGAAAATTAATGATAAAAGGAAACTTTTTTTATCGGAATAATTTTAAATTATTACAAATAATCAAAAGTAATCCAAAAACCGATTATGAACTTGCAAGAATTATTTTTTTTGCTGATTCTTATTTTTAATTCTTTTTGAATATTTTCCATATATGTATATGCATATGTAAGTATGTATGTATGTACATTGTGCCAAAGAAACACAGTACGATACTAACGTTCTTAATTAATTATGAACATTAAAGTGATTTTCTGAAGGGAGCCTTATATGGCGTCTAAGGTCCATTCATTAAAACTTGTTTATAACATCAAGTTTTTAATTCAATCATGATTGTTAAATGATTTAAAGCATTCTTATATGTAGGCTCAAATATGGTCTGATTTCTGGAATCTGGAATCCATCTGAACACAATATCACAAAGGCTGGATAGTAGTGGACCTTGTACTATTCACCAGGGAGTATTAGATTGAAACGTTTACACTACCTTGTCTGATCGGAGTTGTCCTCCCACTTTCGGATACCAACATAACATCATGGCAAGATCGACAAAAGCCGTAACGGCAATATCAATCTGCAGGAAAGCTATAGAAGCAAAATGTGAGATAAAACCCGATCTTGTTAAAAGGATTTTTGAAGCGATCATCAAGCCATTAGTTTTTAATGGAGTAATTGTTTGGCGGAAACAATTACTGACAAAGTTCTAAGGCAATGTTGATCCTAATAACAGGATCACTGGGTACAACTTTAACGAAATCCCTATTTGCGTTGCTAAACTGGATTATAACAGGCTTGTTGTGCAATTAGATTGAATGAAATAAATGCTTGCCCTTCCTCCAGAAAAAATTTGGTTACGTCATCTCGGAAAATTCGGGACTGGAGGAAGGTAGTTCTTCACGAAGCCTATCCGTGTACACGGAGGAAAAGGAGTAGGGAGAGGAATTTTCATTCCAGAATCTGGAGTCAGGTTTACTTTCAGGATCAGCAATGATTGTACTCAAATTCAGGCCGAGATATCAACCATAAAAAGAACAGCAAACTGGCTCTCGTATCATAGGATATCAAGCATCAGTCCCAGATAGTTGTATACTCTACATCACTAGTAGTCCAGGAATGCCGGACATCATTAAACAGAATGACGAGACATTCAAACATCGTACGAGTATGGGCACGAGGACACGGGGATTTTACAGGCAAATATGTCTCTGATGAGCTCGCAAAAATAGGTTCACAACTCGAACATTGACCATGTGGTACTCAGATAGGAGTATGCAAAAGAAAAATAGACAATATGCAAGATGGAGAAATGAACCAACTTACATTCAAATGAGGAAAATACATACGGCCCCAACTTTGCAAAATGATAGCTGTCATCACAGGGTACTGTAAATTAGGTAACCATGCAATCAAATTGGAATACCCTACAATGATTACAGTAGAGGCTGTCCGGGGGACATCCACCTCCAATATCTGGACATTGATTTTTGGAGGACGCTTCGCATTTATCTGGAATGATTTGATTTTCGAAAGTGGACCTTATATGGGAGCTATGACCGATCCGGAAAAAAATTGGGAGGGTTGTTTATATGTATAAATTTTTCCGATATTTTTTGAATTTGAGGTTTTTGATAAATGGGCTTCGACACTATCTTCGATTGAATAAAAAGCAGGAACAGTATGATATGATTCAAAATCGATAAAAAAAAATTTAATCTGTAACATAAGATGTGTTCACGTTATCTATATATTTGACATGAAGAATTTTATCAGTACAAAATTATTATTGAACACAATGAAAGGTATTGAAAATAAATTTTAAAATATTTTAATTTGTTGTATTTGTTAGTTCAAAAAAAGTTAAAAACCGTAAGCCTCTTTAGCTCAGTGGCAGAGCACTGGTCTTGTAAACCAGGGGTCGTGAGTTCAATCCTCACAGGAGGCAAAAAATCCAGTTTTTTGTGAAATCTATTTAATGTTAAGTTTATTTAAAAAGTCTTCACAAAGTAAAATAAAATAATTTCAATTAATCAATTCTTTTCTCATAGTCTCGTCTAGAGGAGGAATGGCTTCACGTGGTATTAAGAAGGTCGATAAATTAAACAAGTCCAAAAACACCTTGTAGCGATCACTAAAATTGAGATTGAATAGATTAATATAAATAACAACAACAATGACTAGTTTTGAATTACCTCAAAGTAGAACGTAAATATTGATAGCCAGAAGAGCCGCCTGTGCCCAATTGTTGGGAGCCAATCATACGTTGTACCATTATGACATGATTATCTGTGAGGAATTTGTTATAAACCATAGTAATTAGTAGTAGAATACTCCAAAACTTATACTTACAACGCCATTTTGTAATTAAAGAATCAATATCCATCAACAGAGTTAATAATTGATGAGGCTGACTGAAACGTGGCTCATCTCTGTAAAATGTAATCATAATGGCTCCTTGCAGGGCTTTGTGACTAAAACGACGATCACCGCGCGACACTAAGGCATCGTGAACAGCTGGATCGAAAATGCTGCGATAAACTTCACGACGTTTTTCAATATCCATTAAACGATAATTTTTAGCGGTTTCAACTTTCTCCATCTGAAATTATTTAATAAGAAAATTAAAATAAAATGGTTTGAATTGTCTTTATTGTGATTCAAAATTACCATAGCACTTTTAACTTGTTCAGCCAGAAATTTATCAACACTGACTTGAAATTTATGCCAGAAATTAAAACCATTCTCCTCCAAACCCGGTGTACGCTCCAACCATTTCTCTATTAACTCTAAGAGAGAAGGTTCCACTTCCGATTGTATGATGGCATTGATAGCCGAATTATCACAACCGAAAGCTTCCGAATACTTTTGATTGTATTTAACACGATGTTCGGTTTTGACACCCAATTTATTTTCAATCAAACGAAATTGTAAACTTTGGAAACCGGATGCTGGTGCCAAATAATTACGGAAATCCATGAAATCTAAAGGCGTCATAGTTTCTAAAATGGGTACTTGATCGACAAGTAACTGTAAGAGATATCAATTTATATGAAAATAAACTTTCTGTGCATAGTCAAGAGCAAGCACTATTTACCTTTAATATGAGCACTATGCGATTGAGACGTTTTAGAATTTCCAAGGTTTTTGTTTCCTCAATAACTTCATCATTTAACATTTCACGTATGGAATCCAACTCAAAAATGATTTGTTTAAACCAAAGCTCATAAGCTGGAAATAAATAAAAGTAGTGTAATTATAATAATAATAATAATAATAATAATAATAATAATAATAATAATAATAATAATAATAATAATAATAATAATAATAATAATAATAATAATAATAATAATAATAATAATAATAATAATAATAATAATAATAATAATAATAATATTAATATTAATTTTCATAAAATACAAAATATTTACAAGCAAATTAAATATTAATTTATTTGAATTCATTCATTTGAAAATTTCATACAATTTTTGTTTCACTTAGTGAGAATTGTAAAACCCAGCCTAAGTCTATTTTCCCATATCATTAGTTGTTTTCGAGATAAATTATTGCAATGTCCATCTATCCAAAAATTCTGAAAGAGTCACAGGCCATAAATCTAAGTAAAATTTGAAATAATAAAATTTTATCGAAATCATACTACGATTTAACTATACTTCTCCAAATATGTGGATTGCGTAATAAACTGGTTTTTCTAAACATTCATCGCCAATTTCTCGCTTAGCGATCATAAAATTAATACTGGCTTTTAGCACCTTAATTGAGACCTCAAGACGAAGTTCTCAAGATAATTTTTTAGGACGTTTAGAGTTTATATTGAATTTAAAAATGGGTTTTATTAGAAATAAAGATAATTATTTCTAACTGCCTCTTTAGCTCAGTCGCAGAGCACTGGTCTTGTAAACCAGGGGTCGTGAGTTCAATCCTCACAGGAGGCAAATATTTTAAACGTAGTAGTTTAAAACGTAAAGACTTATTAAAACGAATTCACATTGGACTTATATTACGCAGTATATGATAATAAGGAACTTTGTAGAAGTAATAATTAAACTAGGATATAAGATTTACAAGTTTGAAAGTAACGATCTGTGAATCTGAATTTGTTTACAATCTTTCCGATACCTCTGTCTCTGTTAAGTCATTAATAAATAAGGTTTAATCAAGGCTTATTGAGAAAAACATGGGAAATTCATGGCCACTAAGACATTATATGCAATAACAAAATTAAAAATAGTGGTTACGTATCTTAAAACATATAACTTCGGTTCTATTCCAATATTTTATCTTTTTTATCAAATGTTTTATTACTTAGATCTGAAAACATGCTTAAATATAGGAAGATGATAGCAAAAATTGGACTCTTTATCTTATATCTAAATTGTCTCCATCTAAAATACGCATTAAAATTTGTTTATTTCTTTATTGAAAATAAAGGCAGTTATATCTAAGAGCCTCTTTAGCTCAGTGGTAGAGCACTGGTCTTGTAAACCAGGGGTCGTGAGTTCAATCCTCACAGGAGGCAAGTATTTTGAACGCAGTTTGAAACATTGAAAACAACTAGTAATTGCCTAGAGAAAAGAGATTTGACATATAAGAGAATAGATCTAAAGTCACTTTTAGAACGACTGTCAGATTGTGGATCCACCTAAACGTTATAATGAGAGACTTTCTACAAGGAATGATTGAACGTTGACGTACATTTCACAATTTTGAAAGTAAAAATCTATGAATCTGAATTAAAAAAAAAAACTTCCGATACCGTTGTTCCAGAGTTTCTAAGCATCGGACGATAATACATTTAGTGAATACTATATAAGGTTTTATTTTTACCAACAAACCTTTTTCATGAAAAGGAGCGCACAACAGGCCCTATAATGTCCTATCAACCTAACATAACCTAGTAGTCATAGAACATAAAATGAGTCAATTTCAAACTCTTAGAAATTTTTGCAGCAATTAAAATTTAAAGTTAATTATTTTTTATCAATCTGTATGGTAGCAATTGGAGTTTTTATCTCATATGTATATAAAATAAACACTTAAATAGTTTATATTTGTAATAAAAAAGCATTTTTATTAAAAATAAAGACAGTTACTTCTAATAGCCTCTTTAGCTCAGTGGTAGAGCACTGGTCTTGTAAACCAGGGGTCGTGAGTTCAATCCTCACAGGAGGCAAGTATTTTAAATGTAGTTTAACATATTGTGAATTACTAGTGTAGAGGAACGAGAAATGAACTAGGTTGGAGGTATTCGGTGATTTGGCAATATGTCCCGTTCTTTAATTTATCAAATCTATATCTATAATAAAGATATATACATAGATTCTATATATCTTTATATATAAAAATGAATGTGTGTTTGTTTGTACTAAACGGCTGAACCGATTTTATTAAAATTTTCACAGCGTATTCCTGTTTGTCTGGAATAGGTAATAGACACCTTTTTATTTTGAAACTCCAAGTGGGCGAGGAGTCACACCCATATTAAGAAAATATTAAATCCGTATAATTTAGATAATATAACAGTTAGAGTCCTCAAATTTTGTCGGAGCAACTTTAGTGTCAATATAATTATTTAGGACAAAAAGTACGCGGACTAGCATTAGGGGGCGTGGCACCTCCCATATAAATTAAATACAATAATACGTTTATCTTGGAAACTATTACAGTTAGAATCTTCAAATTTTGCACGAATAACTTTAACATCCATCTAAACATTTTGGGTAATAAATTGGCGGACTACCCATGAGGGGAGCGGCACCTCCCATATTAATTAAAGACAAAAATTCATTTATCTGGAAAACTAATGGAACTAAATTCTTCAAATTTTGCACAAAGAACTTAAATATTCATCTGAACATTTTGGAGAAAAAAAGCGGACTTTCATCTGGGGGGTCTTGAAGCCCCCATATGAATCAAATAGAAAAATTCGTATATCTGAGAAACTATTAGAGCTAGAATCTTTAAATTTTACATAAAGAACTTTGAAATTTTACATGAAGAACTTTGAAATTCATGTGAACATTTAGAGCATAACGGGCGGACTTTTAATGGGTGGCTGGCACAACATATATGAATTTAATAAAAAAATGTATGGAAAACTATTGTAGTTAGAATCTTCAAAATCGTTAAGTGGGATTTTTATTTATACATATTCCTTTTAGGGTAGCAAAGCACACTGGGTATAGCTAGTTATAAATAAAATTAATAGTGACTTTTAGTAGCTTAATTGAGGCCTTAAGACGAAGGCATGTGCCAACATCTATCGGTTAAATATAACCGGAGATCAAGAATATAAAAATGGTTTTTATTGGAAATGAATACAATTATTTCTAACTGCCTCTTTAGCTCAGTGGTAGAGCACTGGTCTTGTAAATCAGGGGTCGTGAGGTCAATCTTCACAGGAGGCAAATATTTTAAACATAGTTTAAAACTTTACGTTTTAAATTTATTAAAACGAATTTACACTGGACTTACATATATCACGTAGTATATGATTATAAGGAACTTTGTGGAAGTAATAATGATTGAACTAGGATGTAAGATTCACAAGTTTGAAAGTAAAGATCTATGAATCTGAATTTGTTCTTTCCCACAACCTTGTCCCTATCAAGGCATTATTGAGAAAAACATGGGACATTCATGGTCACCAAGACATTATTTGAAATGACAGAAATCATATTAATAAAATAAACATTTACAAAAAATAGTAGTTACGTACCTTAAAATAACAATTTCGGTTCGGGTTAATAGAGAAAAGTGGTAAACGATAAAATACTTTAAATTTTTGTTTAGTTAGTACTATATACCAATATTTTACTTTTTTTTATCAAATGTTTTGTTATTTCGATCTAAAACATGCTTAAAGATAGGAAGATGATAGCAAAAATTGTACTCTTTATCTTATATCTAAATTACCTCCATCTAAAATATGCATTAAAATTTCTTTATTTCTTTATTGAAAATAAAGGCAATTATATCTAAGAGCCTCTTTAGCTCAGTGGTAGAGCACTGGTCTTGTAAACCAGGGGTCGTGAGTTCAATCCTCACAGGATTGAACGCAGTTTGAAACATTGAAAACTTCAAGTGATTGCCTAGAGAAAAGAGTATTGACATATAAGAGTATTGATCTTAAGTCACTTTTAGAACGACTTTCAGATTGTGGATCCTCTTAAACGTTATAATAAGAGACTTTCTACAAGGAATGATAGAATTGAATTTCACAAGTTTCAAAGTAAAAATCTATGAATCTGAATTTGTTTAAAAAACCTTCCGATATCATTGTTCCTATCAAGACGTTAATAAATAGGTCTATTTAGCAGCTGTATTTTTTAGTTAGCAGGATCTTCAACTCACCAAGGTGGAATGGAAACAAATACATTACACTTTTATACATATGCATATTTGTATATACTATATATAAATTATTTATCGATTAATAATATCTAAAACATATAATGTCGGATTGGGTAAGTAGAGTATTTTCTTTGCCATTGTTAGGCTTTCGCCAAATATCTTGGGAGTGATATTATTCCATATATAACATCCCTTACGAACACTGATTGGAAAATTCTTAGCAATTACGTCCAGGAAACTGAGTTTCTAAATATCGGTTTTTGTTTTTACCAACAAACATTTTCCGTGAAAAGGAGCGCACAACAGGCTCGGTGTATTTCTTCGGATTTGATGTAGATACATCCTCCTATCAACCTAACCTAGTACAGTAACAAGCCACAGAATATTAAATTAGTCAATTTCAACTGTTAGAAATTTTAGCAGTAATTTTAAATTTTAAGTTAATCATCTTTATCAATCTGTATAGTAGCAATTGGAGTTTTTATCTTATATCGAAAATTTATCACATCTCATATATAAAATAAACATTTAAATTCTTTATATTATTAATAAAAAGGTATTTTTTATTAAAAATAAAAACATTTACTTCTAACAGCCTCTTTAGCTCAGTGGTAGAGCACTGGTCTTGTAAACCAGGGGTCGTGAGTTCAATCCTCACAGGAGCCAAGTATTTTAAATGTAGTTTAACATATTGTGAATTACTAAATAGGGAGTGGAAGGAGAACTGACTTGGAAGAGTTTACAAACTCTGATCCAAAGTAATGTTGAAAAACATCGCTCTAAACTTAAGTCACTTTTAGAATCACTGTAAAATTGAATAGCAAGAATAGCTATGAATCTGAATTGGTTAAGCAGTATCCTTCCGACATCCTTTCTAAACGGACATCTTAAGGGTTAAAAAGAAATATGGACAGTGTGGTTCCAAATCAAAATCAAAATTCTTTACTGTATTCTAACAGAAAAAATATATGTATGTATATGATGGACAATTTCAAACAGAATTTTAGATAAGAGATACGAAATTTAGATAAAAACGTATGTTTTTTTAAATTTAATAGTTTCATACAAAGAATATAAAGAAATTGGGGCTTGTCAGTTGGTACGTAAAGGAGTTGTCATTCGGTACCTAACTCTAAGTATGTATTGGTAGAATTTTTGTATTAGTATTGGAGCTCCAACCACTTTCACCACACTTTCCAAACATACATACTTGCATAAAATCGTACATAAAAATTTTAGGAAAAATAAATAACATTTAAATTTCTACATTCGCAGATTTTTTAATTTATTTTGCCCACATCTAATCAGTAAACATTTAATGAATATATTTTTCGGACTTAAAATCTCTTTTTTTGCAAAAAAATAAGTTTATTTTAAATAATTTTTTCATTTTCAATACCAAAATATGCAACTTTGTTTTGTCAATTTTAATTTCAACACTCAAAAATTAATTGTCAAAAAATTAAAAAAATATTTTTTTAGTTTGTGAAAAATAAAAATATTTCGGATTGTTAAATGCGATAAAATTGTGTAAAAAATTAAAAAATAGTTATGTGTTTGTGAAAAAAACGTCGTTCAAGCCCTATTATCCCGGTATTTTCGCGAAAAAGTTTTGAAGTATTGTGAGAGAATTGAGTTCTCACAAGTGTGTTGAATTTACACAGAACTCGTCTGTGAAGAGAAGGAAATGTTATTGTTGTAAAACAATGTCATAGTCCAACTTCTTATTATTCTTTGGCATACGGTTTAATGGGGGTTATATAAGATTCGGCATAGTCGAATAGAACACTCTTACTTGTTGAGTTTTGTAATGGACAATTAATTTTTGAGTGTTGAAATTAAAATTGACAAAACAAAGTTGCATATTTTGGTATTGAAAATGAAAAAATTATTTAAAATAAACTTATTTTTTTGCAAAAAAAGAGATTTTAAGTCCGAAAAATATATTCATTAAATGTTTACTGATTAGATGTGGGCAAAATAAATTAAAAAATCTGCGAATGTAGAAATTTAAATGTTATTTATTTTTCCTAAAATTTTTATGTACGATTTTATGCAAGTATGTATGTTTGGAAAGTGTGGTGAAAGTGGTTGGAGCTCCAATACTAATACAAAAATTCTACCAATACATACTTAGAGTTACGTACCGAATGACAACTCCTTTACGTACCAACTGACAAGCCCCAATTTCTTTATATTCTTTGCCGTATGCCGTAAAAGGAATGCTCTCCTATAAACATTAGGTTGATATTTGAAATAGGGCTTAAGTCAATTATGGGCACACCCCTTTCGGATTAAAAAAATATTCATTTTTAAAAACAAAATATTTTTTGTCCAACTTTTAAACCATGAACATATTTGGGCGGTATGGTCAATTATAAAATTCGGTAGAGAGATTTTGGATTGCAAGAAACTTACTTCTGTATCAAATTTTATAGTTATACTCGCATTTTTAAGCCAGTAATGTGCGTTAAAGTCATTTTCTGAAGGGGACATATATGGGGGGTGGGGTAAGTTATGGACCGATATTCATAAAATTCGGTAGATAGATTTTTGCGCTAGACTCGTATTTTTAAGCCAGTAATGGGCGTTAAAGTAATTTTACAAACGGAATGACAAAATCAATATACCCCCCATCTTTTTTGATATAAAAATGTCTTCACATTATTAGATAAGAACATTTTGTGTCATCAATTATTTTAATGGATTTTACTTCAAACAATAGATATCAGAGATATCTTATTTATTATATAATATGTTTCTTATCAATTTTCTTAAAATCGCTAAAATTTCTTTTGAAGATAAAAAAGGTTATTTGTTATTGGAAATAAAGAAAATTATTTCTAACAGCCTCTTTAGCTCAGTGGCAGAGCACTGGTCTTGTAAACCAGGGGTCGTGAGTTCAATCCTCACAGGAGGCAATTATTTTAAACCTAGCTTGAAACATTTCTAGTAACAAGTATTTCTAGAGGAACACGATGATAAAATTTGTCGTTAGCAGTAATACATTAACTAGGCAAAGTAATAGAGATTTTAACAAACATACAGACAGGTGGACTCTGCAATCTATAAGGATCCTGAATATACATATATATGTACATTGTGCATATATACTTTATAGAGTCAAAAAATTATAATGCGGAAATTAGAAACGGAATGACATAATTATATATACACTTCTCACGAAGTTGAGGGATATAAAAATATGTACCATTCTGATCTAGGAACTCACATCAAGATATCTAAAAATTTTTAGTGCTTGTTTTTATAAAAAATCACTCACATTTAAGATTCTGTGTAGTTCTACATAGTTGATCTTACCAAATCTATTTAATAAAATATGTTAATAGTTTTACAAGGGCCTCTTTAGCTCAGCGGCAGAGCACTGGTCTTGTAAACCAGGGGTCGTGAGTTCAATCCTCACAGGAGGCAATGTTTTTTCATAAGCAAAAAACTCGTAAACAATTTATGACATGTTTGAGATCAACAAATTAAAAATTTTAAATGTCTATTGTTCCTTTCTGTAAGTACCATTACGAATCTCAAAAATGTGTTTACATTATCAGAAATCTTATACATACATAAATATGTATGTACATAATAAGTATCATCAATTATTTTAATGGATTTTTCTTTAAACAATAGATATCTGTGATATCTTATTTATTACTTAACATGTTCGTTATCAGTTTGCTTAAAATGTTTAAAAATTTTTAAATTTCTATTGAAGATAAAAAAGTTTATTTGTTTTTGGAAATAAAGACAATTACTTCTAACAGCCTCTTTAGCTCAGTGGCAGAGCACTGGTCTTGTAAACCAGGGGTCGTGAGTTCAATCCTCACAGGAGGCATCTTTTTAGTTATAAACTTCAACATAGAGATAAACAGGATAAGTTCTAACCTTCGTATAACGTTTGTTCACTCACAATAGAAGTCGTAGTTTTTATACCCTAAACCACTATAGTGCTGATGGTATTATGCGTTATTGCTAATGCTTTTAACACAGTCAAATATTGGTCCTAACCTACATTAAAGTATACTGATTGGCTTATGATAATTTTCTATATGCATTGGTTCTTCGCTAGTCCATACATAGCATTCAAAGTGAAGGTCGCGATTTTGTAAATCATTCTATAAAAATGCCATTGATTTTGGTTTAAATCGGTTCATTATTTTACTTAGACCACATATGGCTTTGGAGTTCAAAATAATTATGTTAAATATATTCCCTAGGGTAATAAGTTAGTTTAGATTGATAGGAGGATGTATTACTACATCAAATCCAAAGAAATACACCTAGGCCACTATCGGGTCTTTTATGCGCTCCTTTTCATGAAAAAAATATTTGTTGTCGTAATTCCTAAAAATTTTCCAATCAGCGTTAGTCAGGAATAACATCACTTCCAAGATACTTGGATCTAACTTCGACGAATGCCTGACAGTGGCAAAGAAAGTGCTCCAGAGTTTCAATGTACTCTCTACATGCTCTACATCCCTCTGAATCCAATTTTGTATATTTGTGCTCGTAATCCTGTGTGTTCACTCAGAATTCGTACCATCATACTAACTTCAGACTTGACCATTTTGTGGAGATTTTTCGTCTTGCTCTCATCATGGTCATCCCATAGGATCTTTGTGGTTCTACCTTATGAGATTCTCTCACCCATATTCTTAATTCCGCTTTTGTTGCGTCGAATGGTTTTGTGTTTGTCAGGTTAACTACCTCGAGCTCCCTTCCCTTTAAAGCTATTACATTCGCCCTTTTGTTGCCGACTACTCCCGAGTGGCATGGTACCCATATGATGTAAACCCTACCTCAGGGAGAATATTCAGTTAAAGCTTTCTTATAATCCAATACTGTCTTAGATTTAATTCTATTACCTAATTGCCTTACGGCTGTATATTTCTATATCTATGTCTTCAATATACAACCCCAGGCCCACTTTGTCCCCCAATTTAGAGCCATCCATGTAACCACGGATTTTTACTGGTAGTTACTCTAATGTTCCGCTTGACCATGACATTCTATCTGGGATCAGCATTTCAAAGTTTCCGACATTCTGTGTCTGGTACGCGATCAAGCACGTTCGATGATTGTGTATAACCTTCCAATGTGCCCAGTATACATTGATGACGTGCCCTATAATCGCTTTTGGCAAGAAGGAAGCAAGTTTCAGTATACGTAGAAATTTTTGTTTTTCTTGTGAAAAGACAGATTTCCGTCTTTGCGGGGTTAATATTGAAGCCTCTCGGTTGAACCCAGCTCAAGGCCGTATTCAGAGCTCTTTTACATAAGTAATTTGGATCCTTTCCCTTTAAAAGCATTACGACATCGTCTGCATAGCAGATAGGACTAAGTCCTTTCTCGGTTAGGGTCCTTAGGAGGCTATTAATCGTGGTAATCCAGAGTAAAGGTGACAAAATGCCACCCTGTAGTATACCGCGAAATACCTATTTCCTGAGAGTTTTATATCTAGGGATTGGATAAGAGTATCATTGTGCTCGTTATTGCAGGCGCCTTTGATGTCAATGCAAACCGCCAATGTATACAGCTTGCTATCGAAGGATTCACCTATGTAGTGGACAACTTCGTTTAAAGTGGTTTCCATCGATCGTCCCTTTACATAAGCATGCTGCGAAAATCGGTACTATTATTAAGACGTATATAGAACTAAATTTGCCGATTTTTGTAGAGATACCGCAATATTTAACATAATTATGAACTCAAAAGCCATTTCCGGGAGGTAGGGTTGTATGGGGGCTAGGTTAAATAATGGACCGATTTCATCCATTTTCAATAGGCTTCGTTGCTGGGCCGAAAAACACATATGGTCCAAATTTCAGCAAAATATCTTGAAAATTGCGACCTGTACCTTGCGCACAAAATTTACATGGACAGCCAGCCGGACAGACGGATGGACATGGCTTAATCGACTCAGAAAGTGATTCTGAGTCGATCGGTATATTTTAAGGTGGGTGTATGACCAATATTTGTGTTCGTTACAAACATCAGCACAAACGTATAATACCCTCCCCACTATGGTGGTGTTGGGTATAGAGATCATAAATATTGGTATTGAGTTAAAATACGACATCAATACAACAACACATAACTAGTGTAGAGTATTTTATTATCGTTAAATATTTGTTAAAAAAATATATTTAATTACAATATATTTCCGAATTCCCAGATCACTATGATGTTTAGAAAAACTGTGGTCAAGGTTCATACTATATGCGACAAACAAACTAATTTTGAAATATGTACCAAAAAATAAGATTTTACTATTGGCCATTAACCTATATAGAAATCGAGTTTTTGTAAAAATTATTCATATTTGCTGATGAAACATCCATTAGCATCTTTATATAAACTAAATAGTATTGTTTGTTATTTCAAGGGTTATCATTGAAATAAAATTCTGTTTTTTTCTTTTTTTTTAATTTGTCTATGAGTTAATTAACGTCAAAAATTCGTATTATCAAATTAAAGTAAACAAACCTTGATGGGTGATTATAAATAAATGTTCGTCATGGACAGGACGTTTATCTTCTTTTGAAAGCATGCATTGGGCACTTAAAAGTTTATCCAACATCAGGTATTCCCCATAGATTTTACCAACTTCTGTACTGAGCGGCATCGCATTATCGTCATGTTCCGATCTAGACGATGAAATAAAACACCAATTAAACAGAGATCATACACGCAGACACTTAAACATGATTTGACAAAATCAGCACTTTTCTTAATTGCACAAATACCCACCCATTTAGCGTAGAAGCGTAGGGGCAACTCATTTTAATGGAAATTTAATTTTTTGTTTGTTTTTATGCAAAATAAATTATGCCGTAAGAATATTAGCAATTTGCAACTTGTTGCCTTAAAGTAAATGCGACCGTCTTAAACGAATTCGAAACTTAAACTGAATTTAAAACTATTGACTTAAATTAACTCGTAAAATCATAGCTAGAGTGGTTTTTATATTTCCATGCTCTTATCAGTGAATTAAAGGAATGTGTTCTTTTCATCATCATTTTTAAAAATAGATTTGCATAATATGAATCTGTTATGGTAGCAAAATGTTTAAATGTGTGTATGATTAAGTGACTGAATTTAAATTGTATTAATTTCTGAAATTCATTACACATTATCCAAATAAATTTCAACGAATTAATTCATTTAATTTTTGTCAGATTTGTACGTACTTAAAGATTAATATGAAAAAAACATCTTGTTTCAACTCAAAAAGATTTGGTACGAGTATTTTGTTGTTTGTTTTTCCTTTCAGTTTATTATTATTCATTCATTGGTGTCATCTATCAGTTCTGCAAGATTGAGTTTAAGTGAAGGTTTGTTATCAGTTCTACTTATAAGTATTTTAAAAAATATTTTTTAATCTATACATACAGATCTGTGTATTTAATATTTAAATACTACGAATGCACAAGTACCAAATAAATCAGTTTTTTTCTCTTAAATATGGAAACAAATTTAACTAAATTTTTTGATTCTGAAGTGTTGAAATAATAATGCATACATCTATCTATCTGTATGTAATTTATTAGATCCATATAGAAATATTTTTCTAAGTTATTGAAAACTTTTAAACAAACTAGATGTGTACATTAGGGTGGCCCCTAGATTCAGTTTATACCATAGCAGAAATATAGAAGGTAGTCTCAATCAAAAAAATTAAAATTAAATAAGGTTTTTTGACGTTTTCCTTATTTTAAACTTTATATACAGAGTTGCCACATGTTAAAAATAATAATGGATTTCAAGAAATATTTTACAAAAAATGTGTAGGTAATTTATCTAAATAAAATATATGTTACATTAAAGGAAGTTAATTAAATTACTGATTTCCTCTACAAATTTTACATATAATTTGGATTACTTGACAGTGAATTTTCATTATATCTTATAAAAATTGAATTTAAGTATTCCAAATGGTTCAAAAAGTTGGTATTTGGCTTATATAACCCTCCCTCGGACAATTAATTTGTATAGGTATAATTTTGATCTTTTTTTTCTGAAGTTCTAAAGCCAAATTCTGTAAGACCCATCTTTGATATAATGTAACCGCCAAAATTCTCTAAACCATAGAATTCAACATCATTTAAATCGCAAATCTCATCTAAAAACTGCTCAGTTTCTTGATTTTCTGAAATCTGTAAAAATAATTAGATTTTTCTATATAAACTTGGATCAATAGTTATTTGCCTCAAGTTGTTCCAAATCACATTCTAGTGTATACTAAACCAACGCATGTACATACCTAGTAGTTATTGGGATAGCATCTCTATCCAATCTTTCACGTTTTGAATTGATTGTAATGTCACTTTTAAAGAAATGATCTGAACAAATCATAGGCTCTTTTGGCAAATTTTCTTCGTTGGTTTTGCATCTTTCAAGCCACTGTTGGCGTTTACCCGGTAATATATAGACTTTAAAAAAATCTTACATTGGAATTTTTGCAGAAGTATTTCGTATTTTCGCAGTTCGGGAAAATGCAGCTCATATTTATTCTCTAATTAATTTTACAAATTAGTTTTCAAAGATTTTAATATAAATGTGATTGAAATTATTTTTATAATTTTTTTACATAAACTTCAAAGCATATATAGAAATCTATATATATAAAAATGAATGTGTGTTTGTTTGTATGTTTGAACGTTATAGACTATTAAACGGCTGAACCGATTTTCTTGAAATTTTCACAGCTTATTCCTGCATGTCTGGAATAGGTAATAGGCTACTTTTTATTTCGAAATTTCAAGTGGGCGATGAGCCACGCCCACATTAAGAAAATATGAAATCCGTATATTTGAGATAATATAACAGTTAGAGTCCTCAAATTTTGTCGGAGCCACTTTAGTGTCAATATGATCATTTAGGACAAAAAGTAGGCGGACTAGCATTAGGGGGCGTGGTACCTCCCATATAAATTAAATACAAAAATTCGTTTATCTGGGAAACTAATAGAACTAAATTCTTAAAATTTAGCACGAAGAACTTTAACATCCATGTAAACATTTTGGGTAATAAATTGGCGGACTACCCATGTGGGGAGCGGCACCTCCCATATTAATTAAAAACAAAAATTTGTTTATCTGGGAAACTAATAGAACTAAATTCTTAAAATTTTGCACGAAGAACTTTAATATTCAATAGAAAAATTCGTATATCTGAGAAACTATTAGAGCTAGAATCTTTAAATTTTACTTGAAGAACTTTGACATTCATCTGAACATTTAGAATATAACGGGCGGACTTCCAATGGGGTACTTGGTACCTCCCATATGAATTAAATACAAAATTTCGTTTAACTGGGAAACTAATAAAACTAGATTCTTCAAATTTTGAACAAATTATTTTAATATTCATCTGAATATTTTGTAGGAAAAAGGGCGGACTTTCATCCGGGGAGCTTGAAGCCCCCACATGAATTAAATTCGTATATCTGAGAAACTATTAGAGCTAGAATCTTCAAATTTTACATGAAGAACTTTGACATTCATGTGAACATTTAGAGAATAACGGGCGGACTTTCAATAGGGGGCTTGGCACCACATATATGAATTAAATACAAATTTTTCATAGATAGAAATTGGCGAACTTGCAATAATTTGCTTGGCATCTCTCATATATATAAAAATGAATGTGTGTTTGTTTGTATGTTTATATGTTTGTATGTTTGAACGTTATAGACTACTAAACGGCTGAACCGATTTTCTTCAAATTTTCGGAGCGTATTCCTGTATGTCTGGAATAGGTAATAGGCTACTTTTTATTTTAAAATTCTAGGTGGGCGAGTAGCCACGCCCATATTAAGAAAATATTAAATCCGTATATTTGAGATCATATAACAGTTAGAGTCCTCAAATTTTGTCGGAGCAACTTTAGTGTCAATATGATTATTTAGGACAAAATGTAGGCGGAACAGCATTAGGGGGCGTGGCACCTCTCATATAAATTAAATACAAAAATTCGTTTATCTTGGAAACTATTACAGTTAGAATCTTCAAATTTTGCACGAATAACTTTAACATCCATTTAAACATTTTGGGTAATAAATTGGCGGACTACCCATGAGGGGAGCGGCACCTCCCATATTAATTAAATGCAAAAATTCGTTTATCTGGGAAACTAATGAAACTTAATTCTTCAAAATTTGCACGAAGAACTTAAATATGCATCTGAACATTTTGGAGGAAAAAAAAGCGGACTTTCATCTGGGGGGCTTAAAGCCCCCAGATGAATTAAATAGAAAAATTCGTATATCTGAGAAATTATTAGAACTAGAATCTTTAAATTTCACTTGAAGAATCTTGACATTCATCTGATCATTTAGAGTATAACGGGCGGACTTTCAATGGGTTACTTGGCACCTCCCATATGAATTAAATATAAAATTTCGTTTATCTGGGAAACTAATAGAACTTGATTCTTAAAAGTTTGCACAAATTACTTTAATATTCATCTGAACATTTTGGAGGAAAAAGCGCTGACTTTCATCTGGGGAGCTTGAAGCCCCCACATGAATCAAATAGAAAAATTCTTCTATCGTATATCTTTAAATTTTACAAAAAGAACTTTGACATTCATGTGAACATTTAGAGCATAACGGGCGGACTTTCAATGGGTGGCTTGGCACAACATATATGAATTAAATACAAAATTTCGTTTACCTTGGAAACTCTTATATTATTAAAATTTTTCATAGATAGATAGAAACTGGCGAACTTGCAATAATTTGCTTCACATCTCTCATATGTAACATATTATAAATCTGGAAAACTATTGTGGTTAGAATCTTCAAAATCGTTAAGTGGGTTTTAGGGTAGCAAAGCACACTGGGTATAGCTAGTTTCATTATAAAATGGGAAAAATTAAACTGTATATGGATGGTATCACTAATTTAACGAAAACTTCAAAATCCTTAAGCATGTCAGATAGAGAATTTAAAAAAATAATGAGAGATTGACACTACCTTCTATATTTCTGCTATGGTTTATACCATCTTTTTGATGATGGGTTCAAAACCTCAGGTTTTTGTCATGTCATTATTGGCCCTTATTTCGACCTGATCTTTCAAGACGACTTCTGCTACCAGATTTTACCACCGTTTAATATAAGTAACAAGTACCTAAATATTTATAGTGTACTTCTTGTATTCGAAAAAATAACACAGGACAACAAATTTTGATCTGTGAGATAGACTAAAGTATATTTTTCTAAAGAAATAACTTTTAAACTGATTGGCGGATTTGAAAAATACTTTTTGTTTAAAGTCTATAGACGTCTAAACGCTGAACCTAACTTTAAGTAGACGAAGTGCTGCTCACAAAATAAGTATGGGTGGACTTAAAATAGGGGGCGTGCCGCCACCCAAATGAATTTAATACAAAAATTTTTAGTCTGGCAAACTATTGGGTATAGAACCCTCCAATTTTTCACGAATAACTTTGCTATACATATAGGTAATATTTTGGTGGTTTGGAAAAAGGGGCTGAGGCATAAGACCTAAATACAAAAATTCATATATCTGGCAAACCATTACTATATAGAATCCTCATAATTTTAACGGACAACATTGAAATACATATGAACAATTTGGGGGGAAAATGGACCAGTAATAGGGAAGATGGCACCAAATATATTAACTAAATACCAAAAATTTTTATATCTGAGAAACTTTGGAAACAATGTGGTAACTTTAATTACTTAAGTCCCTATATTTGGGATACTACATCAGGTAGAAGTTCTAAACTCTTGCACAAGGAGCTTTGATTGAAGTAAAAGTTGAATAGCAATAAGAGGCTTGGTATTTCCTTTATAAATTAAATGCTAATATTCGCATATTTTGGAATCTATAACAGTTAGAACCCTAACATTTTAAATGGTAAACGTTTACATCCATA